CCAGGGTGGCAGGCTGCGTCCCCACAGGCCCTGCATGCTTAGTGACATCCCAGCCTAGGCCTGCTGGGAGCTTTGCACAAAGGCCCTGGAGGCAGGGCATGCCACCCTGCCCAGGCAGCTGCCTACTCCGCCGCACTCCTCTCTGCTGGGCCTGCTGCTGAACCATGCCACCCAGGAGAGCCACCCAGACAAATCCATTCGTTCCGGCACCTCCACAAAAGCCAGTCTGGCCTAAGTTAACCTAAACAGGGAATTGTTTACTTGTGCCCAGCAGTGACCATCAAAATGCCATGGTGCTGGTTCAGCCTCGGGTCTGGACATAGCTTGGGTTATTTCCCACTTGGGCCTTCTTTCCTGTGCCCCACAGCCAGCCTGCTGTGGCCTGGCAAGAACCCCCAGTTTCTGTGTGGGAGAAAATTGGGTCTTCTGACGCCACAAGCAGAGAGACATGGCAGCATGCATGCTGATGGGGTTCCAGTCCCCACAAACTCTCTCTCCCTAAGAACAGATACATCCACAGAGGACAGAAGGCCACCCAGGATGCTGAGTGGCCCCCAAACGCCAGGGTTTAATTACTCCATGTGGCTGGTTCGCAGGTTCTCAAATGCCAGCAGCTACACACAGGGCACAGAAGGAGATAAAGATGAGAGTCTGGGTTACAGTGACTAGAGATGGTGAGGCATCCTCATGCAGAAGTCAAGGAGGCAGTTGGCCACACACCCGAGTACAGATGCCACAGGCATGGCCCTGGAGACACCCCATAAACTTTCAACTCCATGCAGGTGCAGGTAGCCATTTGTTGTGGTGGTGCTGGACTTAGGGCCTTAGGACCAGAGAAACACTTTAACATAGTTTGTCTGAAATTGCAACACAAACTCCGACCTCAAAGCCTGTGTCCTGAAGACCAGGCTCTGTCTTTGATAGAAGTTTCTGTCCTAAACACAGCTATCTGGATGGAATGTGTTTGCCTTGTTTTGTGGTTGTTGTTTTTTTCTTTTTTTGTCGGGGGGGGGGGGGGGGGGGGGGGGGGCGGGTCTTCCAAGACAGGGTTTCTCTATGTAGCTTTGGAGCCTATCCTGGAACTCACTTTGTAGACCACACTGGCCTTAAACTCACAGAGATCCACCTGGTTCTGCCTCCTGAGTTCTGGGATTAAAAGTGTGCACCACTTGCCGGGCGGTGGTGGTGCACGCCTTTAATCCCAGCACTCGGGAGGCAGAGGCAGGAGGATCTCTGTGAGTTCGAGGCCAGCCTGGGCTACCAAGTGAGTTCCAGGAAAGGCGCAAAGCTACACAGAGAAACCCTGTCTCGAAAAACCAAAAAAAAAAAAAAAAAAAAAAAAAAAAGGGTGCACCACCACCACCCAGCTCTTTTTTTTTTTTTTAAATAGCATCTCGTGTAGTCCAGACTAGCCTCAAACTCAATGTGCCTGTGGATGACTTTGAACTCCTGATCCTCCCGCATCTTCTTCCCAAATGCTGGATTGTAGGCCTTGGCCACCATGCCTGGTTTAGGTGGTGCCATGGGTCAAGCCCAGGGCTTCATGCATGCTAGGCAAGCACTCTACCAACTGAGCCACAGCCTCAGCCCTTCGTGTCTTCAATCCTTAAGTTCCCTTCAGCCATTCTGACCTGAAACCCTCGGCCCATGAGGCTAGGAAGAAGTTTATTCTCTCCTCACTCACTGCAAAGGTCTCATTCTCCAACATGGCCCTGTGGGACCCTTCTCATCCAGAAGAACATCCCCCCGCTCCTTGTCTCTCAGAATCCTTCTCTCCTCCTGATATAGAGCACCCCTTCACAAAAGCCAGAAGTACAGTCCAAGCCAGGGCCGGGGCTGCTTCTCTGCCCTGTCCTGACTCCTCTGTCTGGGATGTACCATGAGCGCCTGCTCAGTCAGGAAGAAGGGAAAAGGAAGCACATTGTATTGATTACTTTCTTCATGCCTGACAGAAGCAACTCAAGGAAGGGCCGTTTGTTTGGGCTCACAGTTTGGGGGTACAGTCCATGACATCAAGAAAGATGTGGTGACCGGAATTTGAGGCGGCTGGTCACACTGCATCCGCCGTCAGGGAACAGAGAGATGAATGCTGGCACTCAACTCACTTTCTCCTTTCTATACCGTCTGGAATCCCAGCCCATGGGACGGGGCCACTCACAGATAGGGAGAGTCTTCCCGCCTCAGCCAACTCAATCTAGAAACTCCCTCGGTCAGCCTCAAAGTTTTTTTTTTTTTTTTTTTTTTTGGATTTTTCGAGACAGGGTTTCTCTGTGTAGCTTTGCGCCTTTCCTGGAACTCACTTGGTAGTCCAGGCTGGCCTCGAACTCACAGAGATCCTCCTGGCTCTGCCTCCCGAGTGCTGGGATTAAAGGCGTGCGCCACCACCGCCCGGCGGTTTTTTTTTTTTTTTTTTTTTTTTTTTTTTTTTTTTTTTGGATCAGCCTCAAAGTTTTAACACCCGAGTGGCTCCAGATCCTGTCAAATTGACAGCCAGCACTAACCGTCACATACACAAATTCTAATTCTGCCATGAACTGCTCTCCCTAGGCTATACGTGATTAATGGCCAGGCTCTGCATCTCCCCTTGGTAGTTCTGAGAATTCTGGAGGAGTTTTGGGGCTGACTCTGTAGTAATGGCAGTGTCTTGAAAGGCAGTCACACCCTGTCCCTCAGTGGCCTCCCAGCCCCATCATGGAACCTGCCATGCAGTGAACAGGCAAGGCAGACAGGTACAAAATGCTGTGGTGGATAGTTCCATGTCAACTTGACACAAGCTAGAGTCATCCATCAGAGAGGAGGGAGCCTCAGTTGAGAAAATGCCTCCATAAGACTGAGCTATGGACAAGCCTATGGGATATTTTATTTCTTTGGGGAGGGGGCAGGGGACAGGGGTTCCAGACAGGGTTTCTCTGTATAGCCCTGGCTGTCCTGAAACTCACTCTGTATGCTGGCCTTGAACTCACAGAGATCCACCTGCCTCTGCCTCCCAAGTGCTGGGATTAAAAGTGTGTTCCACCACTGACTGATTTGGGCATTTTCTTAATTAGTGATTGGTGAGAGAGAGCCCAGCCCATTGTGGGTAGTGCCACCCTGAGCTGATAGGTCCTGGGTTCAATAAGAAAGTAGGCTGAGAAAGTCATAAGGACCAAGCCAGTTAGGAGCACTCCTCCATGGCCTCGACATCAGCTCCTGCCTCCAGGCTCCTGCCCTGTTTGAGTTCCTGTCCTGACTTCCTTTAATGATGAACAGTGATGTGGAAGCATTGAGCCAAATAAACCCTTTCCTCTCCAACTTGCTTTTGGTCTTGGTGTTTCATCATAGCAATAGTAACCCTAAGTAGGACAAATGTCACTTGCAAAATTCAACCAAGGGGCTAGAGACGTGGCTCAGCAGTCAAAAGGGCTTACTGCTTTTGTGGAGGATCAGAATTCAGCTACTGGTACCTACATCAGGCTGCTTACAGCTGCCTATAACCCCAGGCTCCAGGGGATCTGATGTCCTCTCCTGGCCTCTGTAAGCTCTTGCACACATGTGTGCATATGCTCACACAGACACATATTATTTATGTGGTTTTTTTTGGTTTTGATTTTGTTTCAGGTTGGGTTTTCATTTGTTTTGTTTTGCTTTGTTCAAGACAAATTCTCACTGTGTAGAGCAGGTCAGCCTGGTCCTCACAGAGATCCACCACCTCTGCCTCAAGAGTGCTGGGATTAAAGGTGCACAGCTTAGCTAAAAAAAAGGCCGGGCAGTGGTGGCGCACGTCTTTAATCCCAGCACTCGGGAGGCAGAGGCAGGTGGATCTCTGTGAGTTCGAGGCCAGCCTGGGCTACCAAGTGAGATCCAGGAAAAGGCGCAAAGCTACACAGAGAAACCCTGTCTCGAAAAAAAAAAAAAAAGAAAGAAAGAAAGAAAAGAAGCCAGGCAGTGGTGGCACACACCTTTGATCCCAGCACTTGGGAGGCAGACACAGGCAGATCTCTGTGAGTTCGAGGCCAGCCTGGTCTACAGAGGGAGTTCCAGGACAGGGTGGTTACATAGAGAAACCTTGTCTCAAAAAGAAGAAAGAAAAAAACAAAGAAAAGAGAAAGAAAGGAGAGAAGAATTAATTCATCAACAAATACATATAGCTTTCTGTCTGTGCAGAGCAATCAGACTTAAGGGAAGTGGACAGGAAGGCGGAGCCTAGTGCAGAGGGCCACAGGTGATGTCTGCAGTGTATTCTGCAAGCGCCTCAGACCCCATTGTCACACACAACCAAATGTGAGGACCTCAGATTCAGGGCACAAGGCTGGCCTGTGACTTGGAGCCTTCTTTTGATATTCAGATCCTTCAGGCCTGGGGACTGACAAGGGTGGAGGGCAATATAAATTGAGAGAGGCTTCAACCTGTGGAAGGAGGCCTGGATCAGCAGAGAACACGTAGTGATATGCCTGTGGCCCACACTAAAGCACACACATGTGTGAGCAGCTCCCAGGGTTGAAGGATGGAGGCTCAAGTGAGCTGTGGAAAGAAGTGAAAGGGACATCGTGATGCCTGTGTGGTGCCTGTGACTGCCAAATTTATCCTGGAATATCCTGACCGGGACGGTATTCGTTTGTACCTTGTGGGTCTTGCTTCATTTTATGGAACACTGCAAAGCATTTTGGGGGGCTGTTGTGAGACAACTGTCACCTTCAACCTTGTCTTTCTCCCAAGCCTGAAGTTTGTCCCAGGAGTAACTCTTAGCTTGGAGAGAGCCTAGGGATGAGTAAATGAATCACAGTGGGTGAAGAGGGTGAAGCATGGCCTAGAAGAGCAAAGGCAGGGAGGGGGTGGCCAAGGGGGCGGGGTCTCTCCACCATCTCCTTCCACCAGTCTCAGGCAGGGTGCTCTGTGGGTATGGATGAGTGGGCTCCGTCAGCTCCGCTGGTGGTGGGGAGCTGGCAGCCAGAGGCCATATGCATATGCATGTATACACTGGCTTTCCTTCTCAATGAATCCATCCTTGTTTTCCTATCTAGGTCCCCCTGGACGGCGTGGCAAACCTGGACGCAGAGGTGACCCAGGTGAGTCCAGTTTTCTTAATTCCTAAGCCTTAGCTGAGAGACACACCACGGACCCTGGGCCCAGCCGGAGGTGCCAACCACCTATTTCCTGGATCATGTCTCTCTTCTTAAATGCCAGCTACTACCTCTGGGCCACCATGCCTCATGTCGCCTTTTCTTGGCTTCTTGGCATCTACAATTCCCAAACTGGCCCCTCTCTGTCTTCAGCCTCCCTCTTCATCTGTCAGCATTAGAAACTCAATTCTTAGCCGGGCGGTGGTGGCGCACGCCTTTAATCCCAGCACTCGGGAGGCAGAGCCAGGCGGATCTCTGTGAGTTCGAGGCCAGCCTGGGCTACCAAGTGAGTCCCAGGAAAGGCGCAAAGCTACACAGAGAAACCCTGTCTCGAAAAACCAAAAAAAAAAAAAAAAAAAAAAAAAGAAACTCAATTCTTGATCACCCATTCGTAAACAGCCCCCCTCTATGACAGCAGGCAGAAACCTTGCCAGCTCTCTGTCATGGGACCGTCACAGGACACAGGTCCCCTGTAGATCTCAGCGCCCTCCCAGACCCTGCTCCTCCTACCCTCAGCAGAACCAAAGGTTTTCACCACCTTCCTCCAGGCAAACCCCAGGCTCCCTTGTCCCCACAGCCGCCTCCCCCTGTTACCTTCATTGCATCCAAAATGAACTTACTCTGCAGGGTCCCTCATAGTTTGTCCTCTCCCCGGAAATCTTGACCACTATTCCCCAAGAATCATCTACTCCTTCTGTCCCACCTTCTCACATCTGTGACATCAAATTGGCCAGAGTAACTAATGGCAACATGGCTATAGCAAGACATGTCTTTGTCTTCCTTCCTTCTCTTCTTCTCCCTTCCTTCCTCCCTTCCTTCCTTCCTTCCTTCCTTCCTTCCTTCCTTTCTTCCTCCCTTCCTTCCTTTCTTCCTCCCCTCCTTCCTTTCTTCCTCCCTTTCTTCTGTCTCTCCCTCTTTTTCTTCCTCCCCCCTCCTTTCTTTCTTAGTCATCAATCAGGAAAAAAATCAGGGAACCAGAGAGATGACTTCAATGGCACTTGCTGCTCTTAAAAAGGACCCAAGTTTGACATGTCTCCAGCTTCAGGGGACCTAATGCCCTCTTCTGGCGTCTGTGGGTACTACACTCACGTGTACATACCTTCACACACACACACACACACACACACACACACACACACACACACACACACACACATTTTTAAACCAATTTAAACACTGACGTGCCCACATCCCCTTTGGTGTTCATTTGTACTGGCTTGAGAATACAGGACATGTGCTATGGGTGGATGTTAATAATCTCAGCTCAGCTGAATGCACTTGAGGCAATTATGTACATAAGAGAAACATTCAGAGCTGTGGGTGAGATTGGTGCAAAATCTGTGCGTCAGATGACACATTTGCTGCCTAAGGACTGGAGAGTTCTATTTTTAAGTGTGATAGATTGATTATGGATAGGCAGTTGGAGTTCTTTCCCCCTGGATGTCTGATGCTGCTTCAAGAAAGTGCTTCCTGGTTCTGTGTTTTCTGAGCTAATGATCCCATGAGCATGCATAAACAGCTGAGAGGGTACAGAACTGCTCACTCCTCACTGCCTGTGTCTTTCTGGACACTCACTGGGGGCCCCTCCTGACCCTGAGTATTTCTGGTTCCCTCCAGCCGGTTTCCACACACATGCATTGCATACACGTCACTGATCTTGACATCTCAGTCTCCTCATTTGGGTCCCACTCGCCTCTCAAATGAGTCTGCCCTTGGTCCTCACTTCTCTCTCCCCACAGCATCCCAGTCCTGTGGCTCCAGCTGCCCCAGGACACTGATGGTCCCTCCCTCCCTCCCTCATACCCCTCTGAATACAACATCACCCTGTCTCCCCAGGCTTCCCCACCACAGGGAGGTAACATCCAGCCACTTGCTTCCTCTATGGTGTCCCTGATCATTCCCTTCCCCTCTTCAGTTTATCTCATACCTCTGCTGCCTTCTCTGTCCTCGGGGCCGCAGCCTCCCATAGCTCTCACCACCTACCCCGTCCCCCACATACAGCCTCCCTGTGGCTGTCCAGGGCCTTGTGACCTCTGAACCTTCAAGTCCTCCCCTGGTCCAGGTGTTTTTCTCTACCTGAGCTCCTACTGTATGTTCATTTCTCTTTATCCTCAAAAATCAAGCTCAGGTGGCTCCTCTAAGAAAGCATTCTGTGCCCGGCGGTGGTGGCGCACGCCTTTAATCCCAGCGCTCAGGAGGCAGAGGCAGGCAGATCTCTGTGAGTTTGAGGCCAGCCTGGTCTACAGTTCCAGGACAGCCTGGTCTATGGACTGAGTTCCAGGACATCCAGAGCTACACAGAGAAACCCTATCTCAAAAAACCAAAAAAAAGAAAGAAAGGAAGGAAGGAAGGAAGGAAGGAAGGAAGACAGGAAGACAGGAAGACAGGAAGAAAGTAAGCAAACATTCTGTAATCCCATGGCTGGGGCTACACCCACCTCCAGCATCTGGCATGTAAATACATGCATGGGCTAGTGAATGTACAATCATCTCTTAAACAACATCACAGACAGGGCACAGTTGTGAGGAGCCATGAGGCCAGAGGGACCCCTGTAAATGAATGTTTCCTGTCCCAACTGCCTGGTGTCAAATAACCAACTCAGAGGCTGAATATGAATTATAAATGCTCAGCCAATAGCTCAGACTTGTTACTAGCTAACCCTTACATTTAAATTGACCCATTTCTAATACTCTATGTATTGCCACGTGGCTCACCTGTCCTCTAGCATGTCTTGCTTCCTGGGTGGCTGGCTGGTGTCTCCTCCTTGACTCTCCTGACTCTGCCCTTCCTCCTCCCATCATTCTCTCTGTATCAGGCTGTCTCGCCCAATCTATTCTTGCCCTGCTCTCAATCAATCAGTTTTTTTATTAACAATGAGCATAATCCATAACATTTCTCCCTTTTTGTCTAATTAAAGAAGGTTTTATACTTAACATAGTAAAATTATATACAACAAAAGCAGTTATTAAATAATAATTATAGTAATGATATCCAATCCATTTGTGTTTGGCAAAATTAGAAAAAATACTTAATTATCTATCTTATCTTGGTGAGTCTAAAGTTTTATATCTAATTTACTTTCTGTTATAACTAAGGAAAGCTATAATTATAACTATTTCGTCCTTAACTCCATCAAAGAACCCAGAAGGATAAAATGTTACCTAATGACAAGGACATCAGGCTGCCTGGACAACACCCAAAGTTTCTCTGCAATGTTAGGGCATCCAATTCTGGCCTACAGGCCCAGCATATCTGACAGACTTTCTTGTGAAGCAGGGAATTCTGAAAGACTGTCCTACCTTGTCTTGGCAAAGTTTGGCAATCACCTTTCTTGTGTCCTGCTGGTCCAGTTTGGACAGTATAATGTTAGCAATTGAGGCAAAGGCAGTTTCTTTGCCCACATGGCTAGCTTTTGCCACAAAGAAAGCAAACTCCATATGGAGTTTTTTCAGTGCCCATAATCTTCTCTGAAGTAGATTGGTGCTGCCAGAAACAGATGTGTCTCACTATCATGAAAAGCCTTAGATTATTAAACATATTAAATGCCATACTTTGTAGATCTTTGAAGTGTTTGAAGACCATCTATCTACCCAAATATATCTGTATATGACCTTGAAAACATTCCTAACTTGACTATAAGTTTAACTATTATAGATGACTGTTAATCTGTATTTCTTTTTTTTTGTTGTTTTTTGTTTTTTTTTTTTTTTGTTTTTTGTTTTTTTTTTTTGAGACAGGGTTTCTCTGTGTAGCTTTGCGCCTTTCCTGGAACTCACTTGGTAGCCCAGGCTGGCCTCGAACTCACAGAGATCCGCCTGGCTCTGCCTCCCGAGTGCTGGGATTAAAGGCGTGCGCCACCACCACCCGGCTAATCTGTATTTCTTAATTATACATTACATTTTTAAATGAGCTGCATAAGTACAATACCCCAGAGTAAAAATATATATACAGTATAACAAAATTAACTTTAAATATGTATCAATAAACCAAAATCCATACCAATGTAAAATATTTAAGATTAGCAATTGTTTTTTAATTAAAGTAGATTCAATAATCTACCCTTTTACCCTACCATTTCTATATCCCCCCTTTTTCTTTTTTAGAATGAGATCCCTGAATCTAATCTCCTTTTTTCAGCTTTTTTCCTGACCATTACCAATAACAACTTGTAACCAACCCCCCTTATATGATAATAAATATCCTTAAACCATTTTTTGGAATGTGGGCATAGTTCTCTAAGCTACTTCCTGCTTATTGGGGGCACTGGTAATTTTGGGGGGAACCTGAGAAAATTTAGGATAATTGTTAGGTCTTGGCTGTAGTAATCTGTGAGGCTGGATCATCTCAATCAGCAGCCTGGAAGCTGTTCTGGATGCTGGATCACTTGGTCCACCTCTTTTTATTGGTGTGGTCCCCTTTCAGAAAATATATAAACTTTTAAAGGTAACATACATATCTGTATTAGTTCAAGTATAGACTGTGCACTGTATATAAACCATCCAAAGATGATTTTTTTGTTTTATGTTTGAGCAGGTAAAACATACATCATGTGTCTTGTAGTTCTTTTAGGTTTATTTCTTTATGTTTACACCCAGATTTTTTTGTCAGGGATTCTTTCTCGATCAAACCTGATTTTCCTTAACCCAGAATGAATACTTAGCCTCTCATTTCCTGTGGAAATAAAAGCATAACCTCTTCCCCAAAGTAATATATCTTTTGACTTACATTTTGAAGCCAAGACATTTTTAAAATATATAGGTTGGTTTAATCTAGCAGTTTCCATAATCCAATGTCTCTTAGCAGCCAAAAAAATTCAAAGACAACACAATAACATACAGGATTCAGACTCTCTGTGTATTTCCCATCCTAACAAGGCTTATTTCTCTTATATTACTTTACTCCCTTTTTAAGGACTTTACTTTATGATTTTCAAACTATATTTTTTA